CGCAATAATCAGAAGGTTTATTATAGATGATCATCAATTGTATGAAGGTACCTTTCTGTCTGTGACAGTTTTCTCCACCAGAGGGAGCAGCTCATTCGGGAGGAAGGTTGCATGGGCGTCAACATAAGAAATGCCCTGAGGCTCATAGATGTTTGTCACAATCTGTTTCCACAAAGGCAAACATGGAGACAGGAGATCATTTCTAATGTAAATCAGGAAATCACCCTATGAGGGTTCAAATGTCTTGATGCATGCTCAATCATCCAGGTCAGGAAATCCCAAAAAGTTGATTTGTGGATTCTGTTAGTGTGGATGTAACTATTTTCAGTGCAAGAAACATTTTGTCACTCATCGAAGACAGTTCTTCAGTCTCAGCTGACTGCATGTTTGTCCAACCTTATAAACAGTACCTTTGCACAATAACTGAAACTAGCCCACTGAATGGCTGTGAGGTCAGTTCCTTGATCGTTAATATACAAATTGTCATGACCATTGATCAGCAACCACTTATCAAAGACCATTGATCACTGATCAGTGAATGGCCTCACAGCCCATTGCTCATTCAGTGGGCTAATTTCAGTTATTGGGCAAAGATACATTTTGATGAGTGACAAAACGTTTCTCCCACTGAAAGCACTACAGATACAAAGAATACATTTTTTGGGAAACCCTAAGTAGAAAAAAGTAGAAAATCTAATCAAACATGGATTCACCTGAAAGTCCTGAACCAGTGTTTTGGGTTTGACTCTGGTCAAAAGCTCATATCGGCCCAGTTTCCTCTGAAGGAGCTCCTCATATGTCAGGACAAAGGTCACGTTGCTTTCAGCTGCAATATTGACAGAGACTGAAAACTTCTCCATCTTTCTTCCAGAAGCCCTGGGAAAAACAACAACAAGAAAACAGCACACAAACATCTGAGAGCTGCTCCAGTGAATTTAGATGATCTGTGTTTCTGGTTCATCTGGACGACTCACTTGACGAGTCCAGCAGTCTGTCCAGAAGAAACAGCCTTCTCGTACTGTTTCTTAGCTTTCTCTTTCTCCTTCACCTCTCCAACATACACCTGACCCTCAATTTCCCTGTGAGGCACAAAGATGGAGATAGACATGAGGCATGTAAAGCACATAAATTGACACCACGATAGTGACAAATTCAGCTTTGGAGCACAGTTGTGAAATGAAGGACTGGCTTATAAAACTGTCAGAATGATTAGAGAGGAAACAGACTAACATGCTGAAGTTTGTGATGAAAGCAGTTTTGGGCAGCTCCACTTCAAAAAAGATTTCCTGTGACGAGCTTGCTTTGTTGAACGCCTTGGAGGTCATGACAGTGTGGGCAAAACGAGATGTCACAGTGCAGTCCACTGTCACACTGTGCACCTCCACCTGAGACAGAGAGACAGAAGAAAATGTAGAAAGATAAAAATAGGTTTCTCTCTATGAATCTGATTTTTTAATCTGAATTAAAACTATTATCTCTCATCACCATTATCATCACCAGGAATATGAATGGATACATTTCTTACCATTACTTCATTTGTACTTCTTTTCTGTGAGAAAAAAGGGCGATACATTCACATTAAAAAATAATAAGGCTGCACTAAGCTCTTAATTTCCACTGCATATTTATGTAGTTATTGGTTTACCAGCAGATATATCTTTTAAAATAGTGTGATCTGTGTTATGTTGAAGTTGAGCTGTTATGACGCAGCATCAGAAACTGATGTTTAGCAGTGATTAAAAACTAATGAGATGTTTTCACTAATACAAAGAGACTATGTGTGAATCGTTTGCCAAGTACCTGCAGTGATCTGGCAGCTCCTCTTCTTTCCTGAAATACACACACAGGATATTACGGAGATTACATGAATAAGTTGTAAGAAAAAGCTTACAAAAAACTCAGACACAGTTGGTGTTTAAGGGTTTTGGGTTTTTAAAAAAATAAAATTACAAGACTACTTTTCTGAGGTCAGCACTGTCAAAATCATGCCACAAAGTTATTTCAGTTTCATATCACAAAAGTGGTTGATGTTACCTGTATGGCTTCATCGTGCCTGGAGATGACCAGAGCTCCCGAGGCTGAGCTGCTCAGCCAGAGGCAGGCGCAGCCCCACAGCAGCAGCAGGCGAACACCCAACAGTCCAGACATGACCAAACTCTGACTGAACACTGGCTGACTTCAGTGCAGAGCAAAACTCTCAGTGCCCTGTGGGAGGGACACGCATGTGTGTGTTTTCCTATATTGGTCAACTGCCCTGAGCTCAATGTCCAGGAGGCTGTGAGGTGCTGTGAACCACAAATATAATAATTGCTAGTTTGTGGAAGTTTGGGAGAGTGAATCCAATCGACACTTATTTAAACACTTAGCAAAGTGACAATAAAATCAACACCAACGGTTTCAAGAAAGTAATCCGAAAAAGTTGATTCTGTTCATCTGGACGTAACGCTTTCAGTGGGAGAAACGTTTCATCACTCATTCAAGTGACTTCTTCAGTCACAGCTGACTGCAGGTTTGTCCAACCATATAAACAGAACCTTTACACAATGACTGAAACGAGGCCACTAAATGAACAATGGGCTGTGAGGTCAGTTCCTTGATTATTAATATGCAAATTGTCATGACCATTGATCAACAAACACTTTTCAAAGACCATTGATCAAAGACTACTGATTAATGGCCAAGAGTACCATTCACAGAAAGTTGGAGAATGGCTGCAATCACAGCATTGTAAGATGGGGAAAGATGTCTCTAAATCTCTCTAAATCCTTTAGGTTTCTTGGCTGCCGCCTGGAAACTCGAAACTTTATTTTTTACAGGCCTGAGGTCTGGAGACTGGCTAGGTCACTCCAAGATCTTCCACATCTCGTCTTCATTGTTTTGGCTGAAGGAAGGAGGTTCTTGTGTGGGACTTTATTTTACAGTCTTTTTATGCTCTTGGAATTAAAAAGTGAAGACCTGTCAGAAACTACAAGAGGCTTTTTATCATTTCTCATCATCAGCATTTATGTAAAGATGTGTTTGTCATTAAGCCCAGAAACATAAGTAGACATAAGCTCCACAGACAGTAAACTAGATTTTTGTCTGCTTATTTGTTGTTTTGCAATTTTGGCGAACAACTATTGATGTTGGCTCTTCTCTACTCCAGACCTAGCCAGATCTGATAACTCATTTTGTGGCACTATGTTGACCAACCCCCACATTTCTATTTGTTCACTAGTTAGGGATCAGTGTTTAAAATACAACAAATGAACATTTATTTTTTTGATACTTAGGGAAGGCCTCTGAAAATCTAGAGATTTGTTAACACATAACTTTAAAAGAAAGAGATTTACAGTCCTGTACAATAATAGAACATCAGGATTTATCACACATTTGTATTTTGGTGCAGATGTGCACATTTGCATTAAAAAACATTTGTTCAAAAGTGTTTTTTTTTTTTAACTTTTACAATCAATCCTAAATAATTGGGTTACAATAAGCAGATTATAATATGTTGAAATAAAAGTCTTAAGGTTGCTTGTCACAGTGAGAGTTTATTTAGGAAAATGCTGAACACGAGTAAAAAAAACAAACATTTTTTTCACAATATATAATTATAGCAGTGAACCACATTCATCTGTCTTCAATTAAACTTTCTTAAATTTTTCATTAAAGCAGGAAGAAGCACACACTTAAAAGTCTCTGAGTCTGAAGCACAAAGCCAACAGTGTGCATGTTCATCCTGTGCTATTTGTTTGGTTTTAGGTTGCAGTGTGCTTCACTTGCTGAACACACTGGCTCCAGGAGCTTTGGCAGCTGTGGGCTGGTCCAGCACGGTCTCCTTTCCTGTCCTCACACCACTGAACACAGACGGAGCAACTTTGCCCGCGCGTTCTGATCACAGAACGAGACAGAGACACAGGACACATGTCAGAAAAACACTCTCTGTTTGTGGCACTTCCTCGATTCATAGTTGAGAATTTTACATTCAAAATTTTAATCAGGCACTTTACCAGGCACCAACCCCAAAGGAATACTAATCATTCGACGTCATGTCCAAGTAAGCTGCTATTAAAACTATATCAGACTATGAGGTGTTTGGAGTGTGGACAGCTAGTACACTTATATGGATGTGAATGTGTGCAATGTTCGTGAGATAGTGCTGTCGTAGGACTGGGTTTTTTTTTTCTGTATTTACTTCTTCATAGAGTCCAATGTCAATGTTTGAAGAAGCTATAAAATGTCCCTCCACTCAGTCCGACAGAAACCATTGGTGATCTATTATCAAGAAACCTACCCGAAACACGGGAAATCCATCGTTAGTGTGTCCTTTAAAAGTAATACATGTTTTTCTGTTTGCAGCTCTCCCTGGTGGTCTAGTGGTTAGGATTCGGCGCTCTCACCGCCGCGGCCCGGGTTCGATTCCCGGTCAGGGAACAAGTTTTTTTTTTTTCTTCTTTTAAACAATCGGACACGGATACAACACAAAGTCAGCTAGTCTGTTTTTACGAGATATACATAGTCATGTTTACGGTCTATGCGCCCATGAGTTCATACTTGTTATTCCAGGAAGACATAATGCCTTTGCAGACAGCAAAGACTTTACTCACCACACTCCACCATGACCTCATAGGTCTTACTCTTAACCTCGCCCTTCAGTCCCAGTTTACTGCGGGCTCCTTTGAGGTCCTCCTCCTTCATCGGTGGGCGCTTCTTCTTTTTTACCTCGCCTGGCTACAGTAAAGAAAATAAGGGCAAATAAAATGTATGTGGCACTCTGGTTAAGCATGGATTCATTGTGTATTCATTTGCTGTATGTGAGGTGATGTAACGTACCTGTGACATGGCTGTTAGAGTTGGTGCTCTGATCCCGCAGACAGTGTAATTGATTTGTTGGTTGTTATTCTGTTGTGTGTGTGTGTGTCTGTCCCCCAGACATTATATATAGTCCTGTGTCAGCCTGCAGTGAGTCAGTCAGGCCCCCCCCTGCCATCGGTTCCACTGCCTGTTGTCACAGTGTATTATTAGGTGTGACGTGAAGGATAGTACAGCTGGAATAGGGCTCCCATCGTTAACGATAAGCTTACAGGCCAACAGCTGACAATTTCAAGACACAAGAAGAGTGGCAGAAGGCTACACCTCCTCCTCCGGTTAACCCTGCACTCACATCTTCTTTTGAAAATGTCTCTGTAGGGCTTTGCACTTTGCACTACATTAAACTAGTGATCACCACCCAGCAGTACGGCCTTGTAGACCCAGTTCTTGGGAATCTGCTTACTCAGTTCTATAACTTGATTTAGGCAAGAGGATGTTTCTTGTTGGGATGTCGTAAAAAGCATTTTCAGCCAGTTAACAAATTAACCATCAAAATAAGGGCTGGACCAGTAAGAGCCGCCCAAATGTCAATCTGGACCAGTTGTGTTTTCAGTACGCACTCTCTGCCAAATCTGTTCGTATGGACCATTAGGACTTAATATCATGTTACTTAATGCACTCGATCAGGATTGTTTTAAATGCATTTACACTTTTCTTTTTAGCCTGGAACAAGTAAGCAAACAGTTCAGGCACTATTACTCATTAGACTTGGCATCAGTGTTTAAATTCAAGGTGTGAGCTGTGGGATCATGGAAACACCGACTCATCACTGTTTTAACTCAGTGACACACAGTAAGACTCGTTACTGTTTGTATGTGATTGTTACCCATTTAGAGCAGTCAAAGCAGTTATAAGACTTTTAGCCATCATTTGGATTACCTGTTTGTGCAGATGATGATTATGACGATTATTAAGACTTTTCCCAGTGCGATGTTTAGAGCATCTCATTACGCATGTATGTTTATGCTGGCCCGTTAAATATATCCTTCACCCTTAAACAACTGGCTTGGGGCTCCATCATCAGCATTTAAAACCACAACACTTAAAATATCAAACGCAACAAATTATATGTTTTTGAGCAGAACATGGTACTTACAGTAAAAGTAATAAATAGACAAAAAGTCTTAGACAAAGAGACAAAAGGTGCCTTTTAAATTAAGCTGTTGATCCAACATGTCGTGAACTTTAAAGAGCCCCTAAGAATGGCTCCTGATGCTTAATTACTGCATATGTATTTGCTGAAAGCAGATCTATTTCTGGGAACACAATCATTACCGGTCGACTCTGATAAGGAAAGCGTTACCCCTGGTAAACAGCAAGCAATCCCCACAATTAAAGAGATGCTGAAATCATCACCGTGTTGTAATTTTGTTGTATAAACATGGCATTAAAGAAACAAAACAAATGCAGATATCAATGAGTATCTTTGAATCTCACTTTTATAAAATAAATACAAAGTTTGAAAGTCAAGGTATGAAAAACACTTTTGGGATGAACATCAATCACCCCCCTTTGCTTTGTTTTTTTACATAAATGCGTAGCCCCTTTCAATCCCTGGTAGTCTAGTGGTTAGGATTCGGCGCTCTCACCGCCGCGGCCTGGGTTCGATTCCCGGTCAGGGAACACCTTTTCTCTGCCACAACAGAAAGGTAATCCACTACTTTCATTCTGTATCATACCGTTTATTTGAAAAGCATTTATATGATAACTTATTTCCATCAGATGTTGTTCATCAAGTAGATTAAGCTCGGCAAAATACTAAAGCCCTCTTTGTCCTATTTCAGCTGACAGTTACCATGACTTCTGCACTGTCCTGTACTTTCCCCTTTTTAAAAAAGCACAGTCTTTCCTTCTTTACCAACATGCCAAAAACATCAGAATGAAATCATCAGCAGCACCGTAATCATTGTAGTTTAAGTCACGCCTTTTACTTTAAACAGGACCAGCAGTCACACATATATTCAGCACATGCCAGTTTATATACACACTAGTGTGTGTGTGTTAAATCACACACACAAACACACCCTTTCTCTCAGCTGCCTGGTCTGCACTTACTGTTTACAGTTTAGAGGTCTATGTACGTCACATTCTTAAGATTAGAGCCTGCTGGATGGTGCTTCATGCCTGAGGGGTGTACTACAAAGTGAGATTAGTGGTTTAGAAATCTATGTTGAGCTTAAACTTAGAGTTTTGTGTCACTAATGTGACTCCATTACTGGACAGGAGCAGGTTATGTTCTGAGTTTCAGTTTAAAAATTAGCAGAAGTCTCACATTTTCAGTTACAGCATGTGTTAAGCGCAATGTTGATTCTATGCTAGGGGAATGTATTTCATTTGTGCAAGTTGTTAAGCTG